CTCACAAATCATAAACTGGACAATTTATAAACAAATGTAATACAATATTTCATTAGAACCTTCATATTTTGAAACTGGAAATCATATCTTTTTTGCACAATTTAAAATAATTGTTTTATGCAAGTATAGAAAATAACAATGATGAATACTTCAATTGCATAGTCATAAAAAGTACTTCAATAGTGCTACGTTTTGCTTTTGTGGTTGCAGATCTACCCTTTTACATACAGTTTGTGAATATTTCTGAATCACCAAATATTCATCTGCATTTAATTAGGCAGAAAAACCTGAATGTGCAATTTTGTCAGATAGAAAACTTACATAGAGAAACTTAGTGATGAAGCACAGTAAACACATTCTCCCTAGAAAATGCCATTTAATAAGTTCCAAATAAAGGTTTCCCTGAAGTCAGGCTTGATTCATTTTATCGCAGGCATTGGACCTGAAATCCAAGACACTTATGGTTCTTCTCCCTGGTTTCTTTCACAGTCTTGTCATTTGTTCTTTTCTCTTATCTAGTCTCGCAAGCAGGTCTTCTGGTTCATCATGCAGAAGTGCAGATAAAGAAGGATAGATGGGGTCGGACATTGTGTTCCATTTACTTTTGAATCAGGAAATGAAAAGGTCTAACCCCAGTACACTAGAGTTGGAAAGCTGACCAGAAACTATATTTTAAATTACTTAACATTGTGGAGTTAATTCAACCTTCAAGCTATGGGCAAACATTATGGTTTACTGCCACTCTGCTGGGGAAATCATCTGAGGGAAATCTTGCAGCTGAAACTTGATTTAATCTATCATTTCCAGAGATTAAGAAAAAAATGATGCCATTATTTTAATGGGTTCCAAGCTATTCCCCTCATTTCCCAAGCAAAACTTCTTCGAAACATTTTTAAAAAGTACACCTAAGCATAAGTCTAAGGATAGAGAAATAAATAAAAGTAACTTCTCTGATGGAAAGAAACTGTCCTTACCCTGAGCAGCAGTTTTTTGAATGTTACATTGGGAACTTCTATCTTTTCTTTTCTTTTTTCCCCTCTCAGTAGTATTTTCCCCCCTTGGTTAGTCATATGAAGTATATTTGAATATAAAGTACTTTTTTTCTTTCCTTTTTAAGGAGGTTCTCAGCATGACAATGACAAATATGAGGGAGAAAATACTGTATGTAATGAAATGTAAGGTTAGGCAGTGTAATGNTTGTAATTTTACCAGATATTTACAGTCAGGGCCTGCCAAATCAGGAAAAGAGCTTTGTGAAAAGACAAAAAGATTTTGTTAGCCATAAACTGTGCAGTTCTGACAAGATGCCTACTTTGAAATCCCTCACTGTATGTATCTACAGTGCTTTGTCTATCTCTCCATTCATCTCTCCATCCATTTACTGACACCTCCCACACCTCCCACCAGCACCTAATTTTTAAAATCTGAAAGGGAAGAAAATAATATTGCAAATACTTTTATCTTTATAGGCTTATGGCATATTACATATCATAACATTATTCTAACTACTGGAAATAATATTCAGCTATTTCTTTGATTTTGGTAGCTATTCCTCAAACATTTTCAGGCAGGTCTTTGCCATTACAAGAGTCACAAATTGCTTTTTAAACAAACTTGCTTAAATGAAGTTGTGTATCCCATCCACATTCCTGTTTCTTGTCTGCAATTCCGTAGAACTTGGATCATGCACCTGGTTTGGGGTTACTAAGAAATTTGTCTATTACTGAGGCAATCACAGCAAAAGTGGAGATGGTAGATTTCTCTCTGTGTTCTTTAAACAGTCACAGAGACTGGCTATTTAGAAATAAACTTTAAATACAAGCTTGGTGCTCCCCATTTCTGACTTTAGGTATTTTTTCAGGCTAATGGAATGGCTAAACTAACAGCTCTTCCCTACTCACTTTATTAAACTGTCATATAAAACAGGTTGAAAGTAGAAACATTGGAAGAGACCACCTGTTATTCTATGATAAGGCTTCTTAGAGCATTTGAATACCTAAACAAGAAAGTCCAAGTGGTTTCTGCATAATTTTGTATATTTTATTTTAGATGTTTTAAAGTTTCTTCTGAACAGAGTACTCAAAGAAGTTGACAAAATATGTCACATTCTATGATTAGCCTAACGGAGTAGAAAGGAAACAAATAAACAAACACATATGCTTGAAGATAAATAATTTTCCAAAGAAAACAAAAATTTATAACAAAATATAAATGTCTTAAAACATAGTGGCCTCCAACCAATGGTGACAGATAAATAAAGAGAACCTAAATGTAAGAAATAATCCTTGTGCTGGGGACGGCAACAAGAAGTTTGCTGGGAATGGCAACAAGAAGAAGGAGAAGCTGACNCTGTTTATTTGATGTGGCGATGGTGGTAGTTTTAATTTCTCATACCCATCTATGCCTTTTGAAAAGAGAGGGGGGGGGGTAGAGGGAGGAGGAGGGGGGAAAAGGTCACAAATCAGTTCTTTACACTTGAGAAATGGAGTAATAACAGGTGGCAAGATCAGAGGCAGCCAAAGCCTGGAATTTTGGTTGTCATGGAAACATGTCAGCCTGCGGAGAGATGAGCGCTGTCAGCAGTAGGGGGGAAAAAGGCACACGAGGGGAAACTCAATGCCATTTACCCTGTAGGTTCAGATTGTATGTCAGCCGTCCCTCCAAGGGATGAAGGCTGGAAAGATATGAAAATGGGGAAGCCAAATCCTGCCCACAGATTGGAACCGTTCAAAACTGGGTTTCTGCACAGCTTAAGCCATCAAACAAAAGCTTTTTGTTTTCCTTTTTGCAAAGAAAACACCCCAACCCTATTACCCATTGTGTTGTGTGCCGTTTGGTCTTCGTGCCAACAGAAAAGGCTCTGCTGGCAGGTAGACGAGTCACACCAGAAGCAGATAACAGATTTCACATTACGGATGCCATTAGAGTGTAAAATGCTTCCCTGCCTTTATTTTGCAAGTTCTAGTGTATAGTTTCTTCATGTCATTGATAGGAGTTTTTCTGGTTTTCTGGTGAAATGATAACCAGAGCATTAAATTCAAAAGAGAGTTATGATGCTCAATGGTAGAGGGTGTGTGTGTGTGTGTGTGTGTGTATGTATTCCTGTAGCGCTACTCCACCCCAAAACCCACCCTTAAGAAAATCTATTTTAAAGTAAAGGTAAAGGTGGAGGACATCTTCAGGAATTAGCACAGCCCAGAGGCAGTTTGACATTTATTGTCTGGCATGGAAACAGAATGGATTGGAAAAGAGACAAAAGTATACAATACCATCAAGAGAGTAAATGAATAGAAATGGAAATGGGCTGGTCACATAGGAAGAAGAACTGATGGCAGGTGGGGAAAGGCAGTCATAGAAGGGATCCCATTTGATAAAAAGGGTTCATGAAAGAGACCAAAAACAAGATTGCAATACATCAGCAAGTTTTGGCAAAAGAAAGCTCAGGACTGTGTTGGTTGGAAACATGTAGAAGAGGCCTTCATCTTGCAGTAGATAGAAAATGGCTAAAATGGTGGTGGTGGTGACAGTGGTGTTGGTGTTGGTAATGAAGATGATAACAGAAAGGGAAGGAAGAAGGCAAACCAAAAAAGAAACAGCTAAGGCCTATGCTCTGAGGGAAAGGCACAGAGACGGAATGGATGTAACAACCTTTATTAACACGAACTGAACAACCAACGAACACTTGTAGCCTGACAGCTCTTTTATATGCGAGCTATCAGATCAGTATCAAATAGGAAGCCTGCTATGCTCCCGCCAGACTGCAGCCGCATCGGAACCAATAAGCACTTGCACCTTGGTTGATTGACACCTGCGATCTTAGGTGCGAGTACTTAGCACTCCTTTCCCTGAATTGCGCAGATGTAGTCCTTTAGGTAGGCGGGCTTCCGGTGGCTCCTCCCCGAGCGCCTAAGTTCTTGTTTGGCTGCCGGGGAAGGAGGTTGTCCAGACTCCTCCTCTGCTGATGGCATATGCTTGTCTAGGCCTCCTGGAGACTCTGCCCTTGACTGGAATCATCAGTTTCTGTCTCCTTCTGTATGCATTGGCAGAAAACAAAACGGCAGGTGAAATGGGTTTGAGCCAGTGCATAATGCCCCTTTAACTTGGCAAGCAGGATATCCCAAGGTGAAAACCAGCATGAACTAATGCTGGAGCCGCCAAAGCTCGGGCCATGGAGAACATCTCCAGCCCACATAAACTTAGGGAATATCCTCTCTTCCTCTCTGTGGATATCTCAGTAAAATCATAGGCAATAAGGAAGCATTCGAAGCGCTGAATGAACGCTTCCCAAGATTCCTTCTCTGGCATGAATTCGGTATTGCCGTCATTGTGAGGAACATTGTCAGTGGCTATTACTTTGAGAAATCAATTTATTTCCTCTCAGGATCCCACCTTCATCGCCAGTGCTAAAGCCTATGCTCTGAGAGAAAGGCACGGAAATGGAATGGATGCAAGAACCTTTATTAATGCAAACTGAACAACGAACGAACACTTGTAGCCTGACAGCTCTTTTATATGCGAGCTGTCAGATCAGTAACCAATAGGAAGCCTACTATGCTCCCACCAAACTGCAGCTGCGTCGGAACCAATAAACACTCGCATGTTGCTTGATTGACACCCGTGATCGTAGGCATGAGGACTTAGCAGAAACTCTTGCCTTTCATTCTGAACATTTCTAGAAGGCCTCATTTTAAAAAAAGTGAGATTGGTAGTCCAAAGCTTCTTTTTAAATTAAAAGAATAAAACAAACAACCACAGTTGATTTTTGAGTAGCAATTCATAGGAGCTACGGGTATATAGATTAGTTTGTTCCTTATCTTTGAAAATATATGTGAAAATAATAATGTGATACAGTTTACCAGAGCCAATAATCTTTGGCTCCATAGCATCCAACATAGTTGATGGTCAGAAAACTTGTGATAGTGGCAAAGAATGAGGATTGAGCTGCTATGCTTTCCATCTCCCTCCTAGATGTTGCCGTGAAGATACAGGGCCATACTGGTGAGGAAAGAATGATGGCTGTTTACTATTCCTAACTTCTGACCAAAAAGAAATTGGATTGGATTCCTACTAAGCTGGTTGAACTTAGGTCACTATTCATTCATATAATAATACTAAAGTAAGAGTTACAATTGCTTGCAGGCTGAGAACCATGCTGATCTTTTCAGGGCCATGGAATGGATTTAGGAAAAAGAAGTGAATTAGTCCAGGACAAAGATGAAATTTGATGTAATTTAACATATTATTAAATAATTATTTAATAACATTAAATAACATTAATGTGATGTTATGTATTCCATTTGTATGTATTCTGTAGATATTTAATAATTTTCTTCCTCAGTCACATTAAAAATTACATCTTTTAAAGCAATGCTGTCTTCAAGGCTTTTGGGAAAAACAGATTGTTTTGGATTCAAGTGTGGTAAACTTTCATGCTAAATAATGTAATTTATTTATTTTTTCTAGCTTAGAACCCATCACAAGAGAGAAATGGTGCTCATAAGCCATGGCAAATGAGTTCATATAGCTTACTAAGCCAAAGATAAAACACATTATGGCTCACTATTGTATAACAATAGTTTTTGTCACATTTATTACTGCTTTTGAGTTGTATTGCATTTTAAAACCGAAGTGGGATCCAACTGCTTTAATTTCTTTTAGAGAGTCAAAGGATCAAAACCCAACTTTGATCCGTTGGCTTTGACCAGTTCAAATTTTCAGTTCATAAATTTGGTGTCCAAATACAACTAAGCTAATAAGAATAAAAGATACACATGGAGTTTCTCTCCATTTAAAATAATATACTTCTACCTACAGCCCAAAAAGGACCAGATGGGGCCATCATTTCCAATAACTACTGTGATTTCTGCCTTGGAGGATCTAATATGAATAAAAAAAGTGGACGACCAGAAGAGCTTGTTTCATGTTCGGACTGTGGGCGTTCTGGTAGGTGATATGTTATTGCAGCTATCTGTGAGCATTAAGCAACAACAACACTCTTTTCATATCTTGATATTTATAGAGATAAGATTAAGGGATTGTTGAGTGGATTATGTTTTACAATATACGATTGAATGCATATTTTAAAACTAATGGACAAACACAAAAGTAAAAAGTCTTGTAGAAAGACATTTGTTCTCATTTAGATGAAGACAAGATTAAAGGAGAGTTTTTCTCTTCACATGTTACATTTGGTATTCAACAATGTGCCACTCACATTTTCTACAGCCTGGATTATGATCCATACAATGGGTCATTCTTTCTGTCTCTGCCTCTCTTTGTCTATCTCTTTCTCATACATGCACACAAACAAGCACACCTCATATTATGGGGTAAGGTTGAAGACAACTGACTGGTATTATTTTTTAGAATGTAACTTTTAGGGAGTTTTTTTCTCCATTTAATATATATGCTTGTGTATGTATTTATAAGTGTGTGCTTTATAAAAATTAGTTGCTCCATCATAAGTATTTTTTATTTCTTAGAAGTTGTGTTTGGATATTTTTATTTATTTATTAGAATTTATCCCAACTTATTAATTTATGAATAAGTTGAATATTATTTTAACAAAGAAAGTTTGTAAAAGCATTGACTGTGATGTACCGTATATGTTTTAAAAATCATTTTTTAAAAACTACTTTAAGACTTAAATTTAAAACCCATTTTTAAAGTATACATGTAGCCCTTCTGTGGCAAGGTATTTATTTCCTATTTTATTTTTTAAGTTTCCAGAGATGCTATTTATGATAGGAACTATTTTTTGTCTTAAATATGTATATGGATGGCGATTATAATATCCAAGTGTATGCACTGCATATACACAATATAAAATTCAGTTTGTTGTTTCTCCTTCTAAAAATTGTTAACTTGAGTCTATTGTTAAAACAATGCCAAAACATTTTTTGAAAAATTCTGATTTCTGAAAAATCAGAAATTCTTCATTCATTTCCCTTGCTTCACTAAATATATATTGACAACAGCGGAATGCTTTTTATTTTTCTGGAGCTTCATACTTATTAAAGGGACAACAAAGAATTGTGTAGCACTTTAAAGAATCATCTTCCTAAAATTAATGCAGCTTTAGTCACCCAGTCTTTTGGGATGAGTGACCATAATAAATTGAATAAAATTATTCAATAAATAAACTTATCGTAGGTAAGCAAACTGTGTATATGTGTCACACATGCATATATGGACCTATAACTATAACATGCTACATAATGCATTTTTCAGTCACAAAGTGCAACAAAGTGCATTTATCTATGTGTTCCATGGCCTCTAATATGACTGGACAGGGGAAACTTTTACCTTTACCTTTTATCCCTGACCTTATATATACACCTTATATACATGTTTCTTGTTCTCCACCAGAATAAATCACATCATACATTCTCTAGCTACACTGATTTCAGGATTTTGGTTGCAATATTATTCATCTGCTTATTTAATAGCATTTATACCCTGCTGCAATTAATTAAACTCTCAGCAAATTACCGATTTCTATTGGGCCATCCTTAAACTACACATAGCCCAGGTGGAAAAACTAACAGAACACAACAATATTGGAGACAGATAATGTCAAATTAATCCTAGAGTGGAGAAAAAAGCCTAAACATCAGTTGTTCCAATTAGCATCATTTAAACATGATCAATTATGTAAAACCCTACTTGAACAATGTTACTTTGTTCTCCTAGACCTTGAACAGTAGGCCTGTCCTTGAGTATTGTGGGATTTCCCTCCTCTGAAAGAACTATTGGTATATAAAAACAGGCTGCTTATCAGACACAGAAACCTAAGGACAAAAACTTGCAAATGACTCAACCATCACTTTTATCCATGCGTATATTTACAGAATGGTATTGCAGGAGCTACAATTCCTCAATTTGTGATACGCCTGCATAAAAAACTGGCAATGAGACATCCTGGTTCTGGGTAAAGATCCATCTAATCTAGCACTCTAGCACACAATAATAGCTAAGCAGATGCAAATGGTTAACTCCAATATTTAGAGGGCTCCTTCCTCTGTTTCTTTATATCTATATCCATATATCTGTGTGATACATGCATTCATTTTAGGAAAGTTCATGAAAGCTTGGGTTACTTTATCTTTAAAACACTACAAGGTGTTTTAATTTGCTACACCATGAAAGCATAGCTTCCCTCTGGATATTTTTATTGACAATAATTAATTCTGACCATATTCATTGTCTGTGAACTACCAGCCAGAGGCAGAATTTCCAACATACTTTACTTTTCATACTTACTTTTATATTAAAAAAGTTTTTCTTATCTTCTTGTTCTCATATTTGTAAACCATCTTCAAAATATGCCATAGCAGTTTGATTTTATATATGGCTTTTTAATGTTGGAGTTTAGTGTGTGTGTATATATATATATATAAACATATATATGTATATGAGTGTGTATATGTGTATATACACACACTTATACCAAAACTTATTTTCTCTCTATAAAGTTATATTGTATGTTTATTAGAACTACTGATCAACAAGGAATAGGGGAAGGAAATATTTCACACTTTAAGGAATGGATTCTGTAACATAATGTTTCTGATATATATTAAAAATTATATACTGTATTAGAAGTCTTCCACGCTCTCTCTCCCTCCTGCTTTAAAATGTTTACTTTTACTTAAGATATTTTTACAAAGACATTTATTGCAATATGTATTTATTGTTAAAATATTTTCTATTTTAATTTGCAAAGAAATCATACCGCTTAGGAGAACTGGTACAGAAAGAGAACTCAATGAGGTGTTTTTTTTAAAAATGGGAAATTTATGAAATGGGTTATTATCCTAAAATAAAGTGGTTGATACCAAATGAAAGACAATCATTGTACCCTGCACTTTTAATGGATACATAATACAAACTCTGGGCTCAAGAGAAAGTTACTCATATAATTACAAAAATATTTTCTGTGTGTTTCAAAGGAGAGGAAAGCAGGGTTAACCCTTTTGCTGCCTTAGATTATGGGGCATCTGGAGTGGTATAAATATTTTTTTTAAAAAAAAAAATCAGTTGTTGTTTATAATTTCCTTACTATCCATGTTTTTTTTATTGCTTTCCATTATTGTCCTGAATATATGTGTGTGTGTGCATGTATGCACAGGCATATATACATATATATTTACGACTGAGGTAACTCTTTTATCTGAAATTTCTAATAATGATTAAAGTAATGTTAAATAATGAAATAAATCATGATGCCTGTTACTTAACCCATGTGCTGATATATTCATCATACATGTCAGCTCATTTGGGAAGAGAAAGCAGGAAGGAAGACGCGGCTGCAGCATTTCCCACGGAGGACTTGTTCGGTTCCACCTCGGAAAGCGACACCTCAACTTTTCATGGTTTTGATGAGGATGATTCGGAAGAGCCTGTCTCAAACTGGAGCAGCAGCTCCCACTCTGCAAAGAAAAAAGGCAGTTGCTAAAATAACTAAAGCGCACAAACTCTATGAATGACTTTTCTGCCCTTTCTGCTACTTTTAAACTCTTACTGTTGTTACTGCATTTTTTTTAGAGCCACCTGTTTTCACTTTGGGGCGAATACACTGAAAGCACAACAAACTAATTTTTTAAAAAAGAAAACCTCTGAAATCTTTTTTTTTTTTTACATTTATTTTCAATATTTCCTTAACAGTGCAAATGTGAAATGTGGATATCCTTTTTTTAAGTAATAAGTAAACAATTAAATAGAAGAGCGCTAATTTTATCAGCTTTTAAGATATATATATATAGGTATAGATATATACATATATATTATACACAGGTACAACACAAAATCGGAAGGGTTGGCCACCAGCAGGTACCTATCTCAAATAGTGTTTTAAATATTTATTTCTATATTCTATATATTATTAGAAGAAAGACTTGAGATTAAGGCAAAAAAAAAAAGAGCATGAATTCTATGCGATAATCTAATTGTTAAAAAAAAACAGTGATAGTATGAATAGTTCAAAATGAAAAGGAAATCCAAATGTTTGCAAGTGTGAATTTTGCACTGCAAAAAGATTGCATTTATTGTAGCACACTGGATTTTTTTTCCTATTCCCCTTTTGTACTACTGCTATGTTCACCGTTAAGAATATACCAAACACAAGGATGATTGACAAAATCACAAACACAAATTTCCTGCCATCTTCATTTTAATGTCTTCATCTTTCCAAGTTTAGCATCATTTTACCAGGCACTGCTTTTTGGATCTATTTTGCTTGTTCTTTCCATCACCATTTTAGAAAGGACTTTCTGAGCACATCTGTGGAATACACCCATTAATTCTATGGATGAAATAAATAATGTGAATCTTGAAAGGAAAGGAAAGAAAAGAAAAATATACCTCATGTTCCTTATTTTATTTTTTAAAAATAATATTAAAAACCCATTTAGTCTTATTTTTGATATTTTTCTTGAAATAAACCAAAGCAATACTCACTAATTTTCAAAGGGCAGCAGAGAATACCGAAACTGATTTGCTATTCCAGCAACATAAACTTGAACAGCAGGATTAAAAAGGTAAGTTGTAAAATAAGCATGTTTTGTTCTTCGTGAAATGCTTGTGCTTTGAATTTGTTGCAAATAATCACTGTGGCTAGTGAAACTCAAGGTAGAGAAACAAATAAACCAAGATATGAATGAAATAAGAGATACCTCTTTGTGATACAACCAATCAAATCAGCAAGTGTCTAATTAATTTTAATTATCCATTGCTTTTAAATAAGGAAATGGTGGCCATCAACTTCAGAACAATCCAGGATATTGTTTAATTTTAAGTACCTGGATTCCAAAATTGAAAATCAGTTTCTGGGTTCAGACAGAATGGTGGTTAATGTGAGACTTCCCACTTTGTAAATTTTGTAAAGAGATTAATAAAGGACTTATATAGATAGGCAAAATTATTGTTCATAGTATCTTAGTTTATTAGTTCAGCAATTCATCATATTTTACATTAATTAATAATTCATACGTAACTGTGGTTAAGATACACATTTAAAATTAAAATGCAATTTAGTTGACTGAATTATGTCCTGTTTTCTATGTGTCTATATATACATTTATGCCTTTATGTATGTGTTTTGATAGGCAAGTATAAGTAGCGATATCAGTAATTGTTCCATCTCGTATCACATAACAAATACATTTGAAAAGCTGGGGAATCTGAATACTATTGAATTCAGCATTCTGTATCTTGCTTTATTTTATTTATATATCTTATTTAATTTAAATTATTTATTTATATATTTAATATATATGTTATACTACACAGTGTCTCTGTGTCTTACATTAGTCAAACAGATACATGCTGAATGTCATAAATGGGACATTAATATAATAGCCCTCGTATTTAAATAAGGTACTTTTGATTGAGCTATCAGAAATAGTAATTCATATTTGCTAATTTTATGAATACATAGTTCCTTTTAAACTCATCTAAATGATGTCATAACTTATTTGATAATGCAGAATTCTGTTTATTAGTCCTGAATTTTGTCACATTTAGTTTCAGTGGCTTAATTTAAATTCTATTATTAGTAGAAAAACTTCTTGCTCAATACATTTTCTATTCTTTTTTAACTTAAAAACATCTTAGCATTGTACTGTCTCCCCACAGAACTACATCTCCATATACAATTAATAATATAATAGAAATAAACCTAAATCTGCATCTCCTTATACCTAAGGCAATGTTTTTCTTTGTACTTTTTTCCTTTTTAATGAATGAAATAAATGGCCATTTTATAGTCAAAAGCTTTTTCTGTAAAGATTCTGTGAGACTTACCGTATTTTTCAGAGTATAAGGCACACTGGAGTATAAGACGCACTAAGATTTTGAAGAGGCAAATTAAAAAAAATATTTTTTGCATTCTGCAGACCTCCCCAAAATCACCCATTTTTCGCAAAAAAGGGCCCAGTTTTTATTTTATTTTAAAAAAAGGGCATGAATAGTCTTAAGGTGGCTTGTAGAGTGCTCCTGCCCGGGGGGGGGGGGGGGCAAAAACAAGCAAAAACAGCCTGGTTTTTTGGCAAAAACAGGCCCATTTTTTGTCAAAAATAGGCATGCATAGCCTTTAGGAGGCTTATAGAGTGCACCTGGGGGCTGGAGGGGGCAAAATTGAGCAAAAAAAATTGCCCGTTTTTCATTCATTTCTGCCCTGCCCAGCCCCCAGGAGCACTCTGAAAGCCTCCTAAAGGCTATGCACGGTCATTTTGGTGAAGGGGCGGGGTTTCAGGAGGCAAAAAATGGTGTATTCAGTGTATAAGACGCACCCAGATTTTCAGCCTCTTTTTTGAGGGAAAAAGGTGCATCTTATACTCCGAAAAATACAGGTAGCTGATATAAAACATACTCAGGATGCAAATAGAAGAAAATAAATTTATTTAGACCTATAATTATAAAAAGCAGATCTGCCCAAATGCACAAGATCTCAACAGCAAAGCAACTAATATGTTAGTCCAAAGAGAATATAACATTCTTGTTTTCTGAATTTTTGTCAAACAGTCAAAACATTTTGCAAGAATTACTTGGCTACAGATAACAGTAGTTCCAGAAGAGGAGGCTAACAGCAACAGGAAACATAAATTGTTTTTTGAGGCACATAGTTTTCAATAACGAACTTCTATAATAAATTTAATTCCTTATTTCCTTGTTAATTAACCATATTTGTCTTTCCATGGGTAGGTAACCTAATTTTATTTAAAAGAAACAATGGGAATATATAATTATTATTCATCTTCAGAGCAAAACAAGGTCCTCTTGTCTCCTTTTGGATAGATTTTACCATCAGCTGAAAGTAGTACTACTGGGAGTGAAGAAGTTGGAATTTAGGCGCTTGGTGCTAAGTATTGGAAATATGGGCTTGGCCTATCTAGGCACTACCCATTATTAGACATACTCTGTTTTTAGTGCCATTCCACACAATTACAAAGAAAGCAAAATACAATGTTGCAGTAGCCTCTGAAATGATAGGCAATCCAGTATATATTAAGTAAAAGTAATTGTTCTCCCACTGTCAGACTTTCAGAACAGTTGCCTGGAAGGATAGCAAAGTTGGTGATATAATAATTTGTCCTTTCCCCATATAATCTCTGTTTTAGGGCCAGTATAAGGAAATGAGTTGTTGTTTGAAAACAATGAGTTTTTCGAGGAACATCTTTTAATATACCACAAGCTCTAATAGCAGATAGATACTAATTTGAGCATCATGTTGCCTAATAAAGTTTACAAACTAGATTTGATAAAAACTAGTATCTGAAATCATCTCGTTACCTACTGTAATCCCAAAATACCTAAAAATAATGCTCTCTAGCTTCTATGCAGGATAAACACATAGTAGCATATTGATTTATTTCGTTCTTAATCTTCCGTCCCTCAGTAAATACCCGTAAGTATTGTTCACTGTTAGTAGTTCCTCAAATTTGATATTTTTTCAATTTATGGCTACCGTTTCAAAAATGGAGCAAATTATCCCTGATAATGCCTGAAGCAGATCAGATAGCTAATACGCAAAGCCTGTGCAAGGGACACCATCTGTGATAAATGCCTTCTGTGCCTGCTGTCAAATTATAATCTGGAAAATTATTTTTATTATTGTCGTGGTCGGAAACAAAAACAAAATTTGTTGTCCAAAATTTGAATTAGTCCCAAGTATAATTTGGTTTGTTTCTATAACATCCACAGTCTGGCTGTTCTATTATACAGTAAACTGTATGATAAACACCATTCTGTTCTGTGTCTAATGTTGTCATTGGTCATGAAAATACCAAAATTAGGTTTAAAATGAAAGCTCTCTTTTTAAATAAAGATTTACGTGAAGGAACGCAGGTTAACAAGTTTTAGAGAATTCTGTACAGTGCATTATGAATTGTACAGAAGGAAGGTAAAAATTCTATTTTTTTAACGTTAGAATTTCAATATCATTTCATTTCTTTAGATTTATAGCCCCCCAATTTTAGGCTTAAAACTTAAAACAGTTTGTATAATTAAACATTCCTGGACTTTTGCACAGTATGTTAATTTGTAATTGACATATACATTTCCCAAAAATATAGCTGTTCTTCAGTAGATTTTTCAAATTCTAATGATTGTACAGATATATTTGAAAAGATTTTCTTATGGCCACAAGTAGCTTGGTGTATTTATGCCCAGTGAATTCAGTACTAGCTAGTACATATAGACCTATAATTGAAGTGGTAAAACATAAACAAAAGATGCCTTTGCTTTTTATATATTCTTGACAGGTGCCATGCGCACTCTCACATATGCCCCAAGTCAAATTCTGGCTTTGGATTTTTCTCTTGCAGAACACTATTTCTATGTTGATTGATTTTTACATAAGCAACTCCTTCCCAGAAATTATAGCTAAGAAGAATTATCTTTATGTTCTTCTTGAATGCTGCACCAACTACTCCCCAGTTTTCATCATTATTTGCTTCAATCCTCCACTACCTCTTCCAAAAATATCTGCATAATTTGGGATATTTTTTTCTTTCATCTGTATGGATTATGGCCAGGGAAAAAAGGGGGCATATTTGTATGATAACCCTTCAGTTTAGTTGCAATCCTCTACATAAAATACAAAACAATTGTCAGCCTTCCCAATAGACCAGACCAGATGAGCTAATTTTATTTTACCATAGGGCTATATTAACAGAATCTTGCAAGATTTTATATTGTAGTGCATGTCTCCTGCCATCTTTTTTACAGCCTGAGAAGTTAGGGAGACTCCTTTCTCAGTTCTTTCTCTGTCCCTTATGCAGCTCTGGGCTTCCCCAAGCAGCATTTGGTACCCGCTCCCAAGGTTATTCCCATATGCAACAATGAAATTCATCTTCACTAAATTATTATGGTATATTCATTATGTTAAGCAAAGGACTCTTCTTTTCAATCAATATCTATGGCC